AGATGCTGTTGTGTTATGTTAATTTCTTAGTTTTATTTATTCCATTTCCAGTGTAAGCATTAAAACTTACAGTTCTGGCTCCCATACAGTGCACACACTGAAAGATATTAAGTTGTTAGCACCTCGTCCATGCATGGCACATTTTGTATACCTTCTACAGAATACAAGGAGTTCTTTGAATAGACAAGGGGAGATCATGACATTCACCTTCCCCTCCCTCCTGTCATTCACTCACAGAATCACATCTTGACTGGCTTTGTTTGAATTAAATACCTCCCATGACTGGGCAGGAGTTCATACACCCCAGAATATGCAAAAATGTGCATTGAGCTGCACATGCACAGCTTAGGGTAGAAGAGACATAGGGGAGTTTATTTACTAAAGCTGGAGAGTCCAAAATCAGACTCACTTCTGCATAGAAACCAATCAGCTTCCAGGTTTCATTGCCAAAGCGATAACATTACATCTAATTTTTTTTAGAAAAAAACTCTTTACAGGGTTCTCAAGAGTACAAAAGTCTTACACAAATGTATTTAACACGTAAAACCTGTAGCTTGCAGGCACCAGACCACTGACGCAAAGGAAAGTGTTGAGGAATTTAGTTACGTTTTAATTCTAGGCTAGACCTAGGATTAAATTCGATAAGAATTACATTAATTATAGTAAAATTATTAGGTCACATGAAATCAACAATTGCAGTATACATATGATCAATGCAGCACAACCATGTACCTCTTGACTGCACTGGAGATCAACACAAGCCCCAAGCATGCAGGAATCATTTAGGAGAATTAACAATGTGGCAGAGATGAAGGAACTCATACACATAGCTCAAGATAGGTTGCACGAATGCACACAAATTTGGCCTTATTGGCTACATTACAAAAACTACCACTGAATATGAACAATTCATGAGATCTGGGTCTAACTGAGTTCCCAACCGTCAAAAGCTTCCAATAAGTGTTGGAATAGGACAGTGACTCTTTCCCTCCTTGCAGACAATGCCTCTTGGACTTATCTAATCCCTTCCTGTTTTTTTTTTGTTGTCGTTTCCTAATTTCCTCTTCCTTTCCCTAACCTTTAACCATCCCATTTACTTACCCATCTTCTTTCCATAAATCATGAAGGATAACTGTCAGTTGTCCCCTGCAGTCCATGGGAATATCCCCAGTTCAACACCCCTAACTAGACTTCACTTGCACTTAGCTTCTCTTACCCCCATTCTTGTTATACCACAAAACATGACCTAGACCCTGGACAGATAAGGAGAACAATATCCCCCAGAGCAGAAACCACTGGAGGTAATGTACTGATTAGGTCAACCAACCCAACTTACACAGTAATATGAGCTGCTCTCCCTCACCAGCTAGATTTGTTACTTCACAAAAGGGGCCAAGAGAGAAACATAGTCGACTAGGTTTAAAACACCAACATTCTGATTCTAACTTGAAGTGGGAGTAAACTCCCTTGGTTGAATTTATATAATAAGGCTTATCTATAGGTACGGTAAATATCTCCAAAATGTGCACTGCTTAGGAGATATTTACTCTGGCAGCAGCTGGTGACATCACCGGCGCATGCACTCTGAAGGAACAGCATACCCGTGCCATGCCTTCAGAGCCAAGTGCCATAAAGAGGCCATTTCATACCACAGAAGCCCACGAACCCGGGAGGAAGACCGGGTAAAGATGGAGGCACCTACAGCGGTGACAACACGCTGTTAGAGGGCTTCGTTTTCAGGTAAGTCTGTCATAATGTGCTAGTATGTGGTGCATATTAGCAAATTATGACTTAAAGTGGTTGTGAAGGCTGAAGGTTTTTTTATGGCTCCTGCTGCTGTCAATCACAGCCAGTTAGCCAATGAGGAGAGTGTTGGGGCAGGGCCAAGCTGAGGCTCTGTGTGTGAATGGACACAATGAACAGTGGGTGTCCCCATAGCAAGCTGCTTGCTGTGGGGGCACCCAACAGACAGGAGGAGCCAGTAGAGCCGGCGAGGGGCTGGAGAAGAGAAGGATCCAGGCTGCTCTGTAGAAAACCACTGCACACAGCAGGTAGGTATAGACATGTTTGTTATTTTACAAAAAAGAAAATTAACCTTTAGAATCGCTTTAAACTGCCCGAGGCCCAATCTTTTTTTTGTGCTATGGTTTACTACTGCTTTAACATATCTAAAAACCCTGACATGTACTCCCGTGTGGTCGTACCGTATCCATTATAAATGATTGTCTTTGAAGTATTATCTTCTGTCTGTTTTTTCATGCCTGTTATATTCTGAAAATATTAAAATAAAATAAGTAGTTCAAATGGAAATGTTTATTTAATTTTTGCCCTTGCACATCTATAGCTTAAAGTCATTCTGTGGCCAGGCTGTGGACAGTCAAGTATTTACATACTGTTAAACTCAAAATGACTTTCTGTAGCTGCAGGCACTGTGGAACAATTCATCCTCAAATCTCACAAGAGAAGAACTGACGTGATCAAAGGACCCTGTAAAAAAGTGTTTTTTGTTCCTCTGCTTTACTCTTACAGTGCACCTTCTCTATTACCAGTGGCAATTAGAAGGCTACCAAGCTTCCACATCACTGCTTGGTGGGGGTGGCAGGATGAACTGAGTAGCTTAAAGTGAAAGTATTTCTGCTGTGAAGGATGAATTACTTCACAATATCTGCAGCTTGAATGATTAGTAAAGGCTTGTTGCTTTTGGCAGAAGAGAAACCACCACCCCAATCTAAAGCATTTTTTTAAACAGAAGAATACCACAAGACATGGATGACTCACATTTTTGTGATGTGATGCAGTAAAACTCACATGCTTTGTAATATGCTCGTTAGGTGTCTTGAAGTGCCATTTAAAACCAAGCAATCGTAATGCACTGCACTTAGTTTCACGCACTGTGGATGCAAATTTTGATTTCTTTTTTTTTTGGGCAAAAGTCAACTGCTAAGCCCTCACCTCCATCTCTAATCAGTACTCCTAGCTGCAGAGGTATGTAGAGACCAGTGACACATGAATCTTACAAGAAGGACAGACGTATCTTTGGCCTCACATTCCCTGTGCTGTGCAAAAGGCACAAAGAACGTTCAGAGTGGGAGAATAAATGAGTCTCAGTGGACAGCAGAGCAGACAAATGTTCACTAAACATGCACAAATATATTGAATAGTTTAGCATGTATTCTGATAACTGTATGTATGTGTTATAGTACTCAGTATAGCAGTTCCCTTATGTCACAAGTGAAATACAATTATAAAGTTTATAAAAGATACTGAACCAGCCTGAAATAAAAAAAAAACAAAAAAAAAAAAGTGAGATACATTAACTAAAAACAAAAAATGTCAATATAAATACTATACACAATCCTCATTACTCAGTCCTTCCTGGTCCCAAATATTTGCTTTTGATTACTCTAATGCGTACTGTGGGAATGTCAAGAGATTACAAAGAATGTGATAATGCCATTCAGCATTATTGCAATAGCAAACACATGGAAATGGTGCTGTTGTCTTCACTATCCATTTCAGTTTGATCTATTTTAATTTCTTAGCAATTCACATTAACCAATTCTTTTAACAAGGGCTTAACAAACTAAAGTTAAGAATAGTATTGGGGGATTGTAGGTTTTCTTATTTCTTCAAAATGAATGTCTACAAAACAGACTTTATATAAATCAGCTACCAAGTTAAAATGCTGTCTGTAAAAAATTGTAAAAATCTATGCTATTAATAATACAACAATGACAATAATAAATTATGGAAAATGTTATTTTATACACCCAACACATGCCTGATATATTTTTCTCAGTAGCTGTGCAGAAGTTGATAACAAAAAAAAGTTTAAAGTCTTAAAAAGCTTAACTAGTTAAAAACCATAATATTGTGTATCTCACAATGAATGTACAATATTCATTTGTAATTTCCTTTTTCTGGTTTATAAAACTGTAAACTCTGCTTTATCTGCAGAGCTTCCATCAATGAGCTATGGCTCTGGCTCGCCATAAAAGCCTCTAGCATTAACCAGTACTTAGAGAGGCATGTAAAATATTTTACAAGTTTATGCATTTCAATTTCAAGTATCCCAAGAGAGGTACAATTTTATATGCTTATTACTTCCCTCTCCATTACCAATTTTCCCCAGTGTAAAACCTCTATTTGCTTTCTTTTAAACTCAATACACACTTTATTTTGTGCTACTGAACAACATGGTTAAGAGTGTCTTCTAAAAACATAATATTAAGCTACTACCACATAAAGTATTACTTAAAAAACGTACTAATAAGAAAAAGTAGATTGTTAAAGAGGAGTGGGTTGCAAAGACTTTTAGATTAAATACATACAGTATTATATATATATATGTATTTATATTTATTTTTATATAAAATGTATACACACATGGTATCTGAGCATTGAATTCCACTGCAAATCAAATTAGTCTTTATTCCAATAAGTGGTACACAGGAACATATAAGAAAACAAATTTGGGGATCCCTGTCCTTCCTCATATGCAAACGAAGGTAAGCTTAAATAGACACATAAGAAGAAATATGTCATCAGAAAGCATGGCTGAAACCTAATTAAAAAATCATTAACCATCCACATTCAGACAACACATAATAAACCACAATAACCTCACACCTGCAATAGGAAACATAGTCCAATACAATATAACTCTCTAAACGATCAATACTTAGTATGAATACACTTCAGTAGTGCTTCACACCCAAAGGACCTGCAAGAGATAAAACAATCAAAGGGTAATTTACTAAAGGCTAATAGACTGTGCACTTTGTAAGTGCAGTTGCACCCATTTTCCCCAGATCTTAGAGAATGTGGTGAAGCTTTACTTTTTAACCACCTTCCGTCCGCCCTATAGTACAATGACGGGCGCAAGGTGGTTCTCTCGTTCTGATAGACCGTCATATGACGTCCTACCATTCTCACTGCGCATGCGCGGCTCAGGGAGTGCGCAGCGCGGCGATCGCCGGTCCGCTCACGGAAAGAGGCTAAGATGTCGGCTCAGTCATGTGATCAGCTGTGTCCAATCACAGCTGATCACATGTAAACACGGAAATGCCGGTTATCTGCATTTTTCTCCTCTCGAGCTGTCATGCTGACAGCTTGAGAGGAGAGCCGGTAATCGGCTTTCTGCGGAGGGGACATGTACACTGATCATCAGGGCACTGATGATCAGTGTGGCCCCAGAAGTGCCACCTGTCAGTGCTCATCAGTGCCAGTGCCCATCAGTGCCACGTGCCAGTGCCCATCAGTGCATACCAGTGCACATCTGAGCTGTCTTCCAATGTCACCCATCAGTGCCAGTCAGTGCCACCTGTCAATGCTTATAAGTGCTGCCAATCAGTGCCACCTATCAGTGCCTGTCAGTGTCACCTATCAGTGCCAGTCAGTGCCGCCTATCAGTGCGAGTCAGTGCCGCCTAACAGTGCCAATCAGTGCCATGTATCAGTGCCATGTATCAGTGCCCATCAGTGATGCCTGTCAATGCCCATCAGTGCAACCTTCCAGTGCCTCCTCATCAGTGCCCCCTATCAGTGTCCATCAGTGCAGCCTATCAGTGCCCATCACTGCAGCCTCATTAGCGCACATCAGCGAAGGAGAAAAATTACTTATTTACAAAATAGTATAACAAAAACTAAGAAAAAACTTTTTTTTTCAAAATTTTCAGTGGTTTTTGGTTTAAGAAAAAATAAAAATCCCAGAGGTGATTAAATACCACCAAAAGAAAGCTCTGTCTCAAAAATTGATAACAATTTCATATAGGTACAATGTTGCATGACCGCGCAATTGTCATTCAAAGTGTGACAGCGCTGAAAGCTGGAAATTGGCCTGGGCAGGAAGGGGGTATAAGTGCCCTGTAGGCTAGTGGTTAAAGAATGCCCAATCAGTCACAAGGAAAATAAATAAAAAACATAATTTTACTTTCAAATGATAGGATGATTAAAATCTGCAGAGCTTCACCACATTCACTTTGCTTTGGGGAAAACTAGTGCAACTGCACTTGCAAAGCACACAGTTGCCATAATAAATCAGTCCCAAAATTTCTGTTCAATCCATGTGGGTAGAGGGTCATTCCACCACAACCCCTGTTTTTCTAAAGTCAATACTCTACTACCCCCCTCCTGTTCCTGGGAACATCTTCTAGGACCATAATTCTAAGGTCTATTTCAGAGTGATTCTGTTTTATAAACTGTTTAAGCACTGGTAACATTGACTGATGTGTCTGCATAAAATGTTTATTTTGGCCTATATGATCTTTTATTCACTTCATTATCTCACCCATATAAATACATTTACAGGAATATACCAACATGTATATATAGTTAGGCTCTGTTACATCTAAAGGAGCACCGAGGATGCACTGCTCCTAGACTATGTCACATCTAAAGAAGCCCAGGAAGTGTGCTGCTTCTAGGCTCTGACACATCTAAAGCAGCCCTGGGGATATAGATAGGCTCTGTCACATCTAAAGGAGCACCAGAGGTGTGCTGTTTCTAGACTCTGTCTATAGCTAGGAGAAAGTTGAGCTTTGTGTCAGACCAGAGAAGAGAAAGGTCGCAGCGTCTATTACATCAGGGAGAGAATGGTAGTCATTTATTTTTTCCAATTTTTTTTTTCAGATAATACACCACAATGTTGAAACAGGTTTATCATCAACATTTCCAAGTGAGGATAAATGCAATATAATGAATTTACAAAAATAAAAATATATCAATTATAGTAAGAATTATAATTTAACGCTATATTTAATTATGTTGATTTATAGGACAATCTTAACATGCTGTCCAGGACTTAATGCCTATTCTTCAACTAATGAGACATAGCTTATTTTGTAGAGAAACATATCACGTATCAATAATGTCTAGCAGAAATCAAGGTGTCCATTGTTTGTAAAAGAACTGAGATTTACCATCTTTGTGAGCCATTATTTGTTCAAGGCGGAAGGACACCCCAAGTTGTCTGATAATGTCACTCACTCCAGGGATTACATAGAATTTCCAATTTTGGACTATCATTAATCTAAAATGCCATAAAAACATGTCTTGCTATTGGTCTAAATGTTGGAAGGATTCGGCCTATATTAATATTTAGGATGGCATGATCAAAATTTTATTTAATCATTCCTGTGATCTTTTCTAATAAGCGAAAACTATTTTTCCAACAGCTGTGGAGATGTGGACATAACCGAAGCATATGAACTAGCGCCCCAACTTGCCCACACCCTCTCCAGCATTCATTAGACCCTTGTGGTTAAAATTTTGCTGTAGTGTATGGGGTAAGATACCATCCAAGGTGTATTTTTTGTGCTACTTCCCAATATGTAGCTGATTTGGTGTAGAAGAGGTTGTAGTGTATAGCTTTTTTCCATTGATCCCTGCTGAAGGATATGGAGACGTCTGATTCCCATTTTCAGAGATAAGGAGACTTTAAAAATAAGAAAAAAATTCAATTGTAGAAGGGTATAAAATAGGGGGATGTCTTTTGTGACAGTATGTGTCCCATTTCAAAGCCTCCATGTAGTGTAGGGTGACGGTTAAGAAATATTATTCTAACATACATATAATAATCTGTGTTAGGTAGTGCAAATTGTTGTGCAAAAGTATCATAAGGAATTAATCTGCCATTTTTGAAAAAAATATGCTATTTTTGTAACGCCTCTTCTTTCCCATGATTTTAAATGAAGGTCTGGAATGTGTGGGGACAATGAAGGCGTTGTGAGTTCAGGTAAGCTCATATTGACATATTTTGCTATACAAAAATGACCCCAGGTATCAACAGTTGTCTGAATTGTGGGATGGTTGTTTCTCTGGAAGATGTCTAAGAAGGAATCAGCTAATAATATAGAATTGAGAGTATTACGGGTGAGGTAATCGTTTTCTACGTAAATATGTATGCAGAGGGGGTTGAATATAATGCTAGTATGGCTGAAAATATCGCCCCTGTGATGCCAAATTTATATAGCACGTTTTAGGTAGCCCAAATGTATCCTATCAAAGGCCTTCTCTGCATCTAATGATAGAAACAAAGAAGGTGACCTAGAGGATTCCACTATGGGCATAAGATTGAGAACTCTGCAAGTGGCACCAGGTGCTTGCCTTCCTGATACGAAACCCACCTGGATCCTGTTTTACTAAGCTGAGCTGTATACTTTCTAACCTAGTGGCTATGATTTTAGCATAGACTTTCAGGTCTACATTTAGCAAAGAAATAAGTCTAAAATTGTGTGGTAGATCAGGCTTTTTGCATGGTTTCGGTAAAGTTACAATTATGGCAGACATCTCCGATGGAAATGAGGCTTTGGAAACAGCAGTATTGTAGACCAGAATCATGTGGGGGCAGAAGATAGATTGGTAAGTGCGGTAATATTCTGAAAAATACCATCTGGACCCAGAGACTTGTTAAGAGGGAGCATGGAGATGGTTTTCAAAAGTTCTGGTTTGGTAAAGGGTTCATTTAGAGTCGCTAATTCTTGTGAATTTAGTTTGGGCAAACATATAGAATCTAGGAAGCCCTTAAATAATTCAGCAGTGGGTTGTGGGGTTCCATATTCTTCTTTTAAGTTGTACAGGCTACTGTAGTAGTCCCGAAATGCACTGGCAAAGTATTTTGGGTTTTAGTTTTTTTTCCCATAAAAGGGGTGGTTAATAAAGGGAGTTTTTTTGTTTGATGACCTTTTCTTTTACTTGATTCCCCAAGAGCTTAACAGCTTTGTTTTCATTGCGTTAAGAATTTGTCTTTACGTTTATGATTTTAGTGTTATATTGAGATATAAGTAAAAGTCGGAGGTCGTGTCTAGTCTGAGTCAGCTGAGAGCTGCTTTTATAATTCTGAGCTTTTTAAAAATATTTTCTAATCTGCTAATTTGGGAAATCAGGGCATTAAGCTGTTGGTTTCTCGGTTTCTTAATCACATTACTTAGTTTCATAAGAAACTCTCTAATATACACCTTATCACTTTATGTGAATTCCATGTTACAAATGGGTCTGCTATGGAGGGAGCATTAATTTCAAATAATTCACTTATTAAATGTTCAGTTTTGGATTTGTGATCGAGATGTTCAAAAAGAAATGTATTATTTCTCCATCTATTCACTCTACTTTCGGTGTGGGAACCTGTTATAGTTATTGAAATTGGAGCATAGTCAGACCACATTACGTTATATATTGCAGAGCTACTGAATTTTTGTAGTAGAAATGTATCAATAAGAAACATGTCTATTCTGAAGTACGTATGGTGTACACTCGAAAATAAAGAATAATCCCTCTCTGTTGAGTGCTCACACCTCCACATATCATACAAATCATAAGACGCTTGGAAATGAGTCAAAGTTGCTCTACTGTAACAATTTCTTAGAGGGTCTGACACGTCCAATTGTTTGTTAGAGATAGCATTAAAATCCCCACAGAGCATTACATGTCCTTGTTACCTAGATTGAACCAATCTCCACACTTTTTCTTTCAGAAAGGAGATCTGCTTCACGCTAGGCACATATAAATTTACAATTGTATAGGATGCACTATTGATTTTACAAATCAAAATCAGATATCTACCTAACTCATCAATTTCAACATGGACTTGTTCAAAGGAAATTGTGTCTTTGATGAGGATGGTCACCCCTCTTTTTTTCTTTGGTGCATTAGAGCAGATAATGTTAGGAAAGTGTGGATGATGTAATTTAGGTGGATTCTGTATAGAAAAGTGAGTCTCCTGGAGACATAATACGTCACATTGCAAGGTTTTAGTTTCTTTCCAGGGCATGTTCCTTTTAGCTGGGATATTAGGGCCTTTAACATTGAATGATACAATCTTGAAGATCATGGTGCTGGAAGTTGTAGCTTGCTACAAAAATAGTAGTATTGAAGTTTAGCTCATTGAACAGGTGGTAGATAAGGTAGTTTCACAACAGCTGGAGGGCCCCCAGTTTGACACCCCTATCCTAAGACATCCAATAAATATAAAATTCATCTTACTCTCTCCTCCTGTTGGAGCTTCTTTCAAACTATCTTCACCTATCAGTGTTCCGTTTCTTTTCTAAAGCATTACCTAAAAAGCACATCTAGAAGGATAGACAGACCTAACTAAGATTCACCATTTGTGCACCATCAAAGAAGGGCCCCAACTAAGGTTGCAAAAAAAAAAAAAAAAAGAAAACAATATGAAAAGAAAAATTACAGTTTGAGGATAATCCCCTATGGTCTTAATTATTAACACTTTCCTCACTATTTATTTTAAGATCTTGCAGACAATTTGGATTTAGCAGGGCCATCCCTGAGTCTCAGAGGTAGCTCTGTTACAAATCAAGTGATAAATGTGGTGCAATTATAGCCCAGTCACCTTTAGTGAAAAATCTCCAGATTTAAGTCTGTTTTATGA